AACCTTGTTCTCTTCAAAGCGTCTGACACGAACAGGGAGATCTACGAGATCGCTATGCAATTAATGCAGGTCAGAGAGAGAACATTCTCTGCCAAAAAAGTGTTGCAATAATAGAAAGTGTACTGGATTAAATGGTGTGTTTTGCGTGCTAATCTGTTTGTGTGTGTGTGTGTGTGTGCTTTCTGGTTGAATAGATTCTAGAGGCCAAGCTGTCTGTGTATTCTAAGAGGATTGTGGAACAGAAAAGTGGTGCTATCCTGTATGGGACACACGGGCCTCTTCCACCTCTCTACAGTCTCTCTGTATCCCAGCTTTCAAAGCAGCTTGCCAGAATGTACCCTGAACTCACCTTGCCCCTTTTCTCAGGTATGAAATGAAAGGATAGAGATGGACACTGACTCTTATAGGTGAAAACCGCTAAAACTTTAAACTTCTAATAGCAAAATGTGATCTTGATCTTTTTCTTAACTTAAGTTCTACTGACAGCATTTGTAGCACAATGTTATTTTAATATTATTTAGTATTTAATCATTTTAATTAGCTTTTATTTTAAATTAGCTTTTTATTTTTAGTTTTCATTTTAAATCGAGTTTAAGTTTTAGTAGTCATTTTTTTAAAATATTTAATTTTATCTTTAATTCATTTTTATTTCAGTTTTAGTAATTTTAGTACTTCAAATTAAACATATTTTATTTTAGTTGGTTATCAAGGCAAGATTTTTATTTAATAAAGTTTTTCATCTAATATTTATATTTTATTTCAGATTTATTTTAATTAACAGTAGTTATTTTTAATAGTTTTAGTTAACAAAAATACTGCTCTTCATTCTGTTGATTATCACACAAAATAATTTTGAATAATTACCATTTAAAATATGTAGTTGTCACGCTATTTCTAAAGTATAACCGTAACTCTTAAACATTATACTAGTTACTGGAGGAGAAATGTCTCTGTCAGCCAATCTTTCAAGTCATACTTGACTGTGTTAATCTGGTAGCCAGTTGCTGGTAGCCATTGACTTCCATTTTTTCCATACTATGGAAATCAATGGCTACTGGTATCTGTTTGGTCATGAGCATTCTTCAGAACATCTTCTTTTGTGTTCATGAGAAGAAAGAAACTCATACAGGTTTGAGAATTTGATGACAAAATTTTTATTTTTGGGTGAACTATCCCTTTAACTTGGAATATTCATTTAACCACTAGCAAATTTACCAAAACAGTATGTAGAAACAACATTCGTATCTCTGAATGTTCTGTATATTTATGAAGATCTATCTTTTTGTATCTCTCATCTCTAGAGGTGAGTCAGAGGTTTCCCACCACTCATCCAAACGGGCGTCAGGTCATGCTGACCTACCTGCTCCCTTGGCTCAGTAACATTGAGATGGTAGATGGAGGCCTGCTGTCCACGGTCTCGAGTCCAAGCAGCTCTGGGGACAACAGGACGGGATACAGTCACAACACCTCAGCACCTCACCCTCTTCGAGGCACAGGCTGGGGGTCGCTGCAGGCCTCCTCCTTGGTCCTAAACAACCTCATGTTCATGACTGCAAAGGTATGTTGATGAACCACTGTTACTTTAGACTCTGCTAGACTATAAATCTATGGATTTAGAATAAATTCATTTGTGTGTCTCTGTGTGTGCTAGTATGGTGATGATGTCCCAGGTGCAGAAATGGAAAATGCTTGGAACGCTCTGGTCAGTAATGAACGATGGACTAATAACCTGCGGACCACCCTGCAGTTCCTCATCAGCTTATGCGGAGTCAGCAGCGACACCTCTCTTCTGCCTCATGTAAGTTGCACATTTATTTATGTCATTATATTTTGGTTTGTTGTAAAGATTTTATTGGTAAAGCAGGCCATTTGGTTAAAGAAAGCTTAGCTGTCAAGTTATATCCGTCCTCTATTTATGCTCAGATTAAGAAGGTTGTGATCTACCTTTGTCGCAACAACACCATTCAAACCATGGAGGAGCTGCTTTATGAACTTCAGCAGACAGATCCTGTGAACCCCGTAGTGGTGCACTGTGACAATCCTCCGTTCTACCACTTTTCAGCCACAAGCAAAATTGCCACCACCACTTCTGGTATGCATGCTAGAGAATTTGTCTGCAGATATAGTACAGTGCTGTTCAAAAGTGTGGGGTCATTAAGATTTTTTTTTTTTTTTACTTTTTTATTCAGCAAGGTCTCAAAGTGATTCAAAGTGATCAAACAGGACAGTAAAGACATTTATAATGTAACGGCTGCTGGGCACCGCTGGTCGACTATCTACCTGAAACAGTCACCCCACGAGGACCTCTCCACAGGTCAAACTTCTGGAGTTTCCTAAAGTTTCATGTTTTATTTTATTTTAATTTATTTTAATTTTTTAATTTTATTTATTCTAAAATATGCAGTTTTCATATTTTCTGATAGTGTAACCATAACTCTTAAACATTATACTTATTACTGGAGGAGAATGGAGGAAAAGTGTTTGTGTGATCTTTATATCTGATCTTTCAGTTCGTGCTGTGATCATGTAAACCTGCACAAACATACCAGGAAATGGCATGATTTATAAAAATTCTTTAACAAAAATATGATTGTCATATATCTGTACTTCTAAATCTCCAGTACAATTGTGCTATAGACTTCCATTGTAAGTAAACTATTGCATTTTTATTTGTTTTTACAAAAAAGTACATTATTTCAATTAAATTATTTATTTTGTTACAATAAAACAGCCATTAAGCAACAAAAATAAATCTATACTTTATATTATGTAACAACCTTTTATTCAGATTTAGATTGAATGTCGAAGTCTGCTGAATTGCATACTAGCTTTTAAAGCACTGGTACTTGACTTGTTAAATTTAATCTCTCATCATAAGACTTGATTCTTATGTAATCCTGAAATCTTAAAGCACGTAACTCTGCCATTATCAGACAGATGGAAAATAGATGATCAGAAACTGCAGTGCTGTCGTCAGAGTCCCTCTGACCCGAAAAACCATGATAACATGTTAACAATGTTCTTTTAAACATCTACTCGGGAACTATGATATCAATGGCCATCATCAATGTAATGACAAAACCAACATACTCCCTTTAAATAATTTGCTTTGTCACTCAGTCACAGCTGTTGAATATGTACTGTTCTTTTTGAAAGGTCATTGCTGGTATGTGTTTTTTGTTCATGTACTGAAAGCATGTGTTTTGTATGGTGCAGGTGTAACATAGCAGTGATCGTCATGACAGAGCTGGTGGTGGATCACAGCGTGAAGGAGGACTGGGCCCTGCACCTCCCTCTACTGCTCCATGCCTGTTTCCTGGGTCAGTAGAGCCCCTGTGTTCTGTTCTCATCACAATTTGGGGCATTTTATCAGGGATTACACCCTCTAGATTAAGGCTGCAGTGCTTGAGTCAGGTGTGATCAGATGAAATGTACTGATTTTACTGTAGTACATGGTATTTTTTATCCAAAATGGATTTGCTTTTGTCATTTTTTTTAAAGAAAGCTTAGCTGTCAAGTTATATCCGTGCTCTATTTATGCTCAGATTAAGAAGGTTGTGATCTACCTTTGTCGCAACAACACCATTCAAACCATGGAGGAGCTGCTTTATGAACTTCAGCAGACAGATCCTGTGAACCCCGTAGTGGTGCACTGTGACAATCCTCCGTTCTACCACTTTTCAGCCACAAGCAAAATTGCCACCACCACTTCTGGTATGCATGCTAGAGAATTTGTCTGCAGATATAGTACAGTGCTGTTCAAAAGTGTGGGGTCATTAAGATTTTTTTTTTTTTTTACTTTTTTATTCAGCAAGGTCTCAAAGTGATTCAAAGTGATCAAACAGGACAGTAAAGACATTTATAATGTAACAAAAAATTTCTCTTTCAAATAAATGCTGGTCTTTTGAACTTTCTATTCATCAAAGAATCCTGAAAAAAAGCATATCATGGCTTCCAAAAAAACATATAGCAGTAAGTGTGGGGTCATTAAGATTTTTTTTTTTTTTTACTTTTTTATTCAGCAAGGTCTCAAAGTGATTCAAAGTGATCAAACAGGACAGTAAAGACATTTATAATGTAACAAAAAATTTCTCTTTCAAATAAATGCTGGTCTTTTGAACTTTCTATTCATCAAAGAATCCTGAAATAATTGTATCACAGTTTTCAACATTGAGAAAAATAAGAAATGATTCTTGAGCGCCAAATCAGCATATCAGCATGATTATTGATCACGATCACACTGAATACTGCAGTAATGGCTGCTGATATTTCACAGTATTACTGTTTTTACTGTATCTTTTGATCAAGTAAATGCACCCTTGGTGGACATAAGAGACTTCTTTCAAAAACATTTAAAAAATCATATCAACCCCAAACTTTTGTCATGGCAAAATGTCATAAATACATAAAGGCAGCAGAATGGCTGAAATAGCATTCATGTGTTGCATGTATAGCACATGGCACATGCTATATTAATAAATATGTCTTTAAAGGTCCACCTTCCTGTAGCAAAACATTGGTGTGTGGCCAGGAATACATCCCTGACACAGATGACTCACCAGTCACAAAGGAGTGTGATGACAGGTATGTGCCACAAACCACACAATTTACATGTGTGCCTTAACACTCTTT